ACTCCTGAAGATATATACCATCCAACTTTATATATCTCCATGACTCACAGTTATGTAATTGAAGAAAGTCAGTCCGACTTAATTGGGCTTCTGTGTGCCTGTGTAACAGCCACAAAGATTTAGAATATGTAAATGATAAATTTTATGATATTTTAAATAGATTTAAACTGGGATGTGTTCCAACCAAAAAAAAAAACGAAAAGTTTCCTCAAATCCCTCAGTATTGAAATATAACAATAAAGAATTTGTCACAGGCACATATATTGCTGAATGTTTCGCAGTTTTTTTTTTGCCACAACCTATTCCAGTACATCTTGCCAAATGTCCAGAACCGGATGGCATACCTAATATAATTCTTAAATATTGTTCAGAAACATTAGCACTTCCTCCGTTAACTATATTGTTTAATTATTCACTTAAATTTGGTCACTTTCCTACTTTCTGGAAAAAAATCTTATACCTTTACATATGTCTGGTAGTCTTACTAATGTGTCAATTTATAGAGGAATTGCAAAATTAAGAGCCATACCAAAATTGTTCGAAAAATTAATTACTGCAGTAATTTCACAGAAAATTCAATCTATATTGAGTCCATATCAGCAAGGTTTTCGTAGTGGTCTTTCAACTACAACAAATCTTATACAATTTACGTCAACAGTAATAAAAGGATTTGTTCAGCGTAAACAAACTGATACAATCTATACTGATTTTAGTAAAGCTTTTGATAGGGTTAACCATGAACTCCTAATATATAAATTAAATTATATGGGTTTCAACACAAACTTAGTCAATTGAATATCATCTTACTTACAAGATAGATCGCAACTAGTTTTGTTTGAAGGGTATCTATCCAAAACGATTAACGTTCCATCGGGTGTTCCGCAAGGAAGTCACCTTGGACCGGTCCTCTTTCTTTTATATATCAACAATTCACCTAATTCCATAAATTACTCGAAATTGTTAATGTACGCAGATGATGTTAAATTATTCATTTCCCAAAATTGTGATAAACGAGCTAGTTTACTTCAAAACGATTTAGATGGCCTTCCATGTTTGTACTAAAAATATTAAATGGTAATATATCTTCAGATTTCCTAACCTCATCTATTAGAATTAATGTTCCGTTTAGATCGAGTAGATACTACCAATTATTATATACTGATTTTCACCGAACGTATTATTAAATGGGCGAACCTCTTAGTAAAATGTGTGTTGACTTTAACTCTGTGTACTGTAATGTAGATTTTGGTATGAGTTTAGAAGTTATTAAATCTAGAATAATTTTATTTTTAAACAATTAACATACATGTTTTATTATTTGACAAACTAGCTGATGAATTAGATTCTGTAGCTGTTTTTCAATTTCCTACTAAATTCCCATTATGATGCGGATCATGATGTGTACGCGATCCCTCAGTAAAGGCAGGTCGCCCTCTCGGTCGGCAGGGGTGGGAAGGAAGTAACAAAGCGATCGTATTTACTTGCCAAAGATGTCAGCTGAAAATGTGCACCATGGTGTGGACCGCCATAACAGCCGTTGGTCGCTCTCCGCTCGGATTAATCGACCGTGGCATCAGAATGAATGACGAATATTATCGCGAAAATATTCTGGAGGGTGTATTTAAGCCTTGGACACGCAAACAGTTTGGCCGCAGACCTTGGACATTCCAATAGGACTCAGCACGCGCCACCCAAGAATGGTTACAAAATGAGGTTCCTCGCTTCATTTCCAGCGCACAATGGCCACCAAAATCTCCGGATACCAATCCGTTGGACTATTTTGTCTGGAGTATTTTGGAAAGCAAGGTTGGCACTAAAAAATGCCAAAGTGTCGATCACCTCAAGCAAACGCTTCGCCGGGAATGGGCCAAAATACCGCAGAGCAACATTCGGACAGCGTGTGACGGTTTCATCTAAACTTATTCTAAAATTTGAAGCTATTTCTTACATTTAAAAAAAAAATTAAAAAATGTAAATGTAAAAAAAATGATGACGTTTGACTTTGTTGCATTTTTTTATCTCACCCGGTAGATACGTTCCCAAAATGTAATACATTTCATATAAATCCATATTAAGAGTAAGAGATCGGTTCAGATTTATTTTAAAAATGAGGTTGAATTCACAGTGGAGGTAAAATACGGTTTATATATATATATATATATATATATATATATATATATATATATATATATATATATATATATATATATATATATATATATATATATATATGTATATATGGAAAGCAAGGTTGGCACTAAAAAATGCCAAAGTGTCGATCACCTCAAGCAAACGCTTCGCCGGGAATGGGCCAAAATACCGCAGAGCAACATTCGGACAGCGTGTGACGGTTTCATCTAAACTTATTCTAAAATTTGAAGCTATTTCTTACATTTAAAAAAAAAATTAAAAAATGTAAATGTAAAAAAATGATGACGTTTGACTTTGTTGCATTTTTTTATCTCACCCGGTAGATACGTTCCCAAAATGTAATACATTTCATATAAATCCATATTAAGAGTAAGAGATCGGTTCAGATTTATTTTAAAAATGAGGTTGAATTCACAGTGGAGGTAAAATACGGTTTATATATATATATATATATATATATATATATATATATATATATAGAAAAATCTATGGAAGTTATGGAATGGCCCCCTCAGAGCCCAGATCTTAACCCCATCGAACATCTATGGGCCATTTTAGATACCAAAATACCGATGGAATCGCGAACAAACGTTACAACATTCTGGGAAGCAATGCAAAGAGAATGGAAAAAAATACCGAGTAACACTTTAAAAAATTTGGTGCGAAGTATGCCAAAACGGCTTAAAGCAGTGATAGACAACAAAGGTCGAGCGACAAAGTACCAAATAATCTTAAAATATATTTTTATTAAAACAAAAAATAAATTTGCACTTTATTTTGTCTAACTCTAATACGAGGTGAAATTATGTTTTTATGTTTTTTCTGTTTCAGAATGAACTATATATATATATATATATATATATATATATATATATATATATATATATATATATATATATGTATATATATATGTATATATATATATATATATATATATATGTATATATATATATATATATGTATATATATATATATATATATATATATATATATATATATATATATATATATATATATATATATATATATATATATATATATTCTTTTTTTATATATAACAGAATATGCACATAATAGAACAATAGAAGTATATAAGTTAACAGGAAATACTTTTTTAATAATAATACCATACCTTATATGTCAATACATATATTGCAAAAATATGCTTACGATACAATTGGTGATGGCTAGGTATAGTTTTAGTTGTAAGTTTCATTACATTTTTACAGTTAAAGAGAGCACTTGGCTCGTGACAATATATTAATTCAATTCAAAAAAAGTAATACCGTGAATGTTATTTAATCATTGAGCCCAAAGGCCAATGTAAAGGGAAATTCCGATAACAGACGATATTAAATAATTTATATTGTTGTTTAAGTGAATTAAAGTAGAACTCATTTTCATTTACACCTCAGTACCGGAGGCAAAAAAGTATGAAATTTTAATCAAAATAAGAAAAACTAAACCGCGTTTTTCTTTAGAAAAATTTTCAGGGCACTGTTGTTTTTTTAATAAAGATTGACATTTTGGATTGTTTCGTCAATAACCACGAAATGTGAAAATTTTGTGTGGACCAATTAGAAGTTTATTACAAATTATGAATTTTTTCATATATCGGAAAAACAGGTAGCGATTTTGGTTTGCCTTCATTACTGGTGTGTCTTTTTCGTTGGCGAGTGTTTCATTATTGTTGTTATTTTTTGGTAGAACATTTTTGTATGACACACTATTCAACATTCCCTTTTATTTGTCATTACATGCTATGACGATGGGTTTGAGTCTGAACGACATGACGAGACATCGAGCATTTGGTTGGGGCATAACATGACGAGCGTTTTCTCTCCATGGTATAAATAGAGAAATATGTCACATTTGCAGCTCTTTAGTACCCATTACGAACTTTACATACGAAATTGGAAACGATTCCGATAAAAAAAAAAACTTGACTACATCGCGAATATCGTGAGGATTTATTAAGATAAAATTGCCGTTAAAATGTTGTGAGAGATTACCTCTTTTATGCGGTAAGCTCCGAGGTTACCAAATGCATTTAGCTCCGTAGCTAGTGTGAATATGCAAACAAAATAGCAATGCACCGAATCTCCAATATCAACACGGGCTGAAAGAGTGCCCAGAGAGATTTGTAGTGAAAAAGGTTCCTACGGTCCGAGCTGAGCGAGCTCATTTCTTTATGGTCCGAACTAAGCGAACTTAGGTTCTCCGGATTCTTTGACAATATGCAATTCTAATTTAAGCAAAATTACTGTTAAAATGTTGTGAGAGATTACCTCTTTTATGCGGTAAGCTCCGAGGTTACCAAATGCATTTAGCTCCGTAGCTAGTGTGAATATGCAAACAAAATAGCAATGCACCGAATCTCCAATAGCAACACGGGCTGAAAGAGTGCCAAGAGAGATTTGTAGTGAAAAATGTTTCTGCGGTCCGAGCTCATTTCTTTACGGTCCATACTAAGCGAACGTAGGTTCTCCGGATTCTTTGACAATATGCAATTCTAATTTAAGCAATCATGGTAAGGTGGGACTTTTTGTATTCAAGATGAATATTATGGTATGAGCCTTTATTATTGTCAAGGCTAATTTACAAGGTGACAACTTGAATATTTTTTGATAGTAAGAGAATGCTAGGGTCTGAATTCGTCTCTTGTGTAAACTTATTGATTTGACCTTGGTCATTATAATAGCTATCATTCGTTTTTCCAATCAAATCCCTAATGATGACTTTTAATGATAGTCAAAATATTGAAAATTTAAAAAAAAAACAAATTTTTTATCTTCTTGAAAAGAACGGAGAATATATTGAGCTAAACCCGTAAATATTTTTATTTGCAGATAGTAAGAAAAATGTAGAATCTCAAGGACTTTTTCTAAACGATGATATCAATAAAGAATCTAACTTTGAGTACGAAGAAGAGTGGGACATTGATGGTATTCCCGAGTTACTAAATGAACTAGACGCTGATATTGAGAAGTCTTTTAGAACAGATACGCATCAACTGCCAAACCGAAGTCAAAAGTGTTGTACTAGAGAACTTGTCCTGAATTCGAAATCCAATGAACATTTTGAACATATTGGGAGAAAAACAAGCTTTCAAAGAACACAACGTGACGTTCCTTTTAAGCACCGAAAGTCTTCTGCTTTTACGGGATTTTCTAAAGGTGGCCAACTTATTTCATCGACATCTTCAATACCAATTTCATCATTGGAATCTAGTTTTTTGTTTGATTCCGATCATCAATTCCTTAGGACGGCAATTTCTGACAGAATGTCATCGCAAGCCGTAAATAGTAACAACCTCAGCACCAATGTTGGCTCTTGCGGAATAAGTAACATTAATAGTAGTCAAAGTGGTGCATCCAATAGCAATAAGTCCAACACAAAGATGTCAATAGATCACCAAGCCACTTTGGATAAAGGTTTGAAAATGAAAATAAAACGTACAAAACCTGGTACCAAAAGCTCGGAAGCAAAACATGAGATTGTTAAAGCCACTGAGCAGCAACAAAATGGAATGAGCAGTGGGACAGGGAGTAACAATGTAGATGAAAGTACGAATCTAATATCGGGTGCAACTTCTTTATCATCTATTCAAACAAACAGTGGAAGTGTTGGTAATCAGATCATAACATCTTTAACTGGTAATAAAAAAAATGGCGTTAACACTGGAAATCAATTAAATAATAATCCTTCTTCCGGAAACAATAATATGTCAAGTGGTATTCTCGCGCCGAATATCCAAATTCAAACAAACTCTTTAGGGACAAAAAGAGCAAGTTCGGGTCATAGGCGTGAAAAGGTCAAAGAAAAGTTGTCACATTCCAATCGCAACTTGAATGAAAAAAATATTCCGCAAAGCAACGAGAAAGAGCCGCAAGATAAAACTTCGTGTAACTGTAACTTAACAGAAAATTCTTCTTTAATGTGCTCCAGTAGTTTTTGTGTCCGTCGTAATGACAGTTCTTCAATACGTTTGTCAGGCTCTAATACTACGATTCCACCTGGCGTCTTTACCCCCTCGACTGAAACACCGACAACAACTGCTACTTCGACAGCCCTTTTGTCTGTTTCAGCAACAACAGCTAGTTCAGCAATCATAAGTCACTCTTCTACATCAAGTGCTATGCCAAATACACCTGGACCTCCAACAGTGGGAGGAAACATCAAAATATCTTCGCACATTGCTGCTCAATTGGCTGCAGCTGCTGCATCAAATTCACTTAATGGATCCCTAAATACTACAGATATGAAAGGTCCGTCTCAGAATATAACAGAAAATCAAAACAAAACCGCAACGGGTACAATAACGACTGCAATGCAGCATTCGATTTCCATTCCACATTCAAATAATAAAATTAGCGATATGTCTTCAATAACAAACGTATCGAGCGCAATATCAGGTACCAATGCAAATATTTTGGAAGAAGAATGTTCAGAGTCTCCTCCACCAAAACGGACAAAACCGAATGATGTTAAACCCCAAGGAAATAACTCGATTAACAAGGAAACCGTGGACATTTGTATTGGCACATCCGTTGGAACTATCACAGAACCTGACTGCTTAGGTCCATGCGAACCAGGAACGTCAGTTACTCTGGAAGGTATTGTTTGGCACGAAACTGAAGGTGGCGTTCTGGTAGTGAATGTCACCTGGAGAGGTAAAACGTACGTGGGAACGCTACTGGATTGTACCCGTCATGACTGGGCCCCACCAAGGTAAGTTCATGGTAAACATATGTACGTTTATTTTATCTAATTATTTCTTATTTTTTGGCCAAAAATTTTAATAAGGGTTACGAAAAATGTATTATGTTTTAAAGTCTAGCCAACAAAAGAAATTTTTTGTATTGTGAATTTCTGATTTTGAATTGTGAATTTCCCCTTTATTGTTCTTGATTTTCGGTGGTATTGGTATTTAGTTATTTGTTTAAAAGTTTTGCTTTTTCATATACGCCTTATTATGGCTTTGTTTTAAGTCCGAAATCTTAATCACTTACTGACAAAACTTCTTGTATATAATTTTATGACCAAACCAAGAAGAATGCTGCAAATTAATTATTTATTAATTAAATTAAACATATAACATTACATTTTTAATCTTGCGTTAATTTCTTCAGTATGCTAACAATCAATTTAGAAATCTCACTAGATGAAGCGTTTATGCATGAGCACATATTCTTGGTACATATAGTTCACTAATTCAATAGTAGTACTTCAAATCTATTCTTACAAGTTCTCTAATATGTCACCATTGATATGTTTAATAAAACTCCGTTTATTTGGATTGATGCCCAATTGTGTTGATGTGTAATTACAACATCTCTTGTTTTATTTTATTAAAGCATTAATATAAGAATACCGGCAGATGACCGCTACTTCGTCAGCGTAAAGTACGCCTTAAAATTTTAGATTCGTTCAACAGTTTGTGTTAGGCCTTTTTAGTACTCCAATTTGTTCAGTTTGACATAATATTTTAATAAAAATTTTGTACATACTTAGTATTCAGACTATTAAGGTTTAATCTATATATATATAAATCAATTGTTGTTTGTTGGTAACGGAATCAGTTGAAAACGGCTGGACCGATTTGCATAATTTTTTGTACAAACGTTTGTCATACCCCGAGTTAGGTTTTTAAAGAAAAAAAATATTGACCACACCTCCTTTTACGCCCACTATTTCGATTTATCTAAAATCTTTATATTTGCCAAAATATTGAAGATATCGGTTTCAGAATTATTACACGAGATGCTGTTGGCTTTCCATCCAACCCTAAGTACTTATTTAGGGGCTGAGGAACGCGCCTACTTTTAAATCTATCTCTTTATATGTAAAAGAAAGTTGTGTTAGTTACTACTCTTATAACATAAAGACCGCCGGTCTGATTTTAACGATTAAGACAAATTCGGAATTGCCTCTTGGCAGAAATGAATAAAATCCCAAAAAAATCGCGTAAAAATGTGAAATTTGAACATTTTCATTTCGACTTTTAAAATGTACAATAGTAATGTTTTATATTGCATATTTTTTTCCAATTTGACTTACTATTTTCGAATGTACATTTGTAGTGTTTTTTTTTTTAATTCTAATATGAGGTTTAGGTGGTGTAGGTTTTTTTTGGGTAGTATAAAGCCACAACGGATAAAACTGTTATTTATAGATTTTATTCGTTGTCGCTTTATATGAAAATTCTAAAATCGAGAAAAATCGACAATTTTTCAATGGAATCTAATTTCATAATAATAGTACATTCTACCGACAAATTTCTTAAGGACCTTTAAAAATTTGCTGCAAAAAAAATCAGCGAACCAGTTGAAGATTCTTTTTCTTTTTTCTATATTGAAGTGTACATTTTTTTATTGGTTTGAATTCTGAATGAATAGTATTAAAAATGAAATGAGGGCGCAATACGATGTTAAATGCTTTCTACTCCAGGACCTATATCGTGCTTCAGCTGGAAGATGCGAACACATTTAAACAAACAAAAATGACTAAAGAAGCGTTATGGGGCTAATTTCAAAAAGTGGACCTACTTCTTTCAATAAATTGTCAAATGAGAACACAAAATGCAAAATACATTGGGACTGCAATCAGTCAAACGCCGACTATAAAGAACGCAAAATAGAAATTCTACCTAAGCATTCAAGATACCTTTAATCGCTTTGCCAGGTCATGATATGGATCATAACCTCTGATAACGGAACAACCCGATTTCAAATATATTCTACATTTTAACCATATTTTTCGTACTAATTTTAGCTTATGTTGATAATTTAAGAAGAAACCATCTTTGCAAAAAATTATCACGTTTTGGTATCACCATCATATGATTTAAGGTATTTTCGGGGTCTTGGCCACTTTTTTCATTTTTTGACTCTTATTTGACATCTTTGTTTCTAAGGGGGAAGAAAACCTCTTCTTATAAATTTTTATTTTTCGGAAAAGCGCGCATCTTAGTCTTGAGGCTACCTGGGGTAAAAAACCCTGGAGTGGAAAATCATCTTACAGATAATTATCCTCATATGAATTTATTTAGGTATAGTCCCCACATTAGTATACCCCCAAGTCCACTTTCCCAACCAATGTGTGGTCAGAAAAGAAAATTTGGTATTCTATTGAATTTGTAACCCCCAAGAGAATATTGGTTGGGAACGTAGATTTGGGATGTACGTCTATATGAAATAAACTCCGAAATGTCAATCTGGGACTCATTCAGTCGGAAATTGTGGCAGAAACAGGAAAAAAATACGAAATTATAAAGGAACTTTATTGGATCTCCACCGCAAAATTTAAATGGCAAACAATTAATGTCCATCTTACGGTAATCGCAGCAAAAGAGTAATTTTTTTGGCTATTCTGACTACATTCTGCCTTCAAGTATGAGGTGGACAAAACTGAATACCACGCAGTACGGGATTTTAAACGTTGGAAATACAAATTTCAAATTATAGCACATTTGAATGCTTTTTACAATATCAAAAATTGAGCTGAATTTTCACATGGGGCTATTATAGATGTTCTTTATCATATAGGTATTTAACACTCAAATTAAAGCCTATAGCTGAAAAATAAGATCAGGCTCTTTAAAATATCTAAAACCGACGGTAATTATAATTTTTGCCATGAATATTAATTTATATTTAGTCATGGAGTCATTACTCATAATCAAGTCATTGGAGTAATTATAATGGCGTCATTACTTATAATCAAAATTGTGCCGCCTACATAAGTCAGATCTGTGATTTATTATGCTTTAAAGACTAAAAGTACGGGCCGGCAACGCGGACCGGGCCAGCTAGTATATTATTTAAAATTCTATTTTTTTGGGAAGAATTTCAGAATTTCAGCTCTATTCCTTCCAAATTTGGTAACATTTAGTACGTAACAGTTAGTACCCATTTAGTACTTTTCGAAAAATTATAGTACGCATTTGCAAAACCACGACCAGATACCAACAGAGACGTCAATATCAAACTTCGGGATTCCAGCTATATATCTTAACCCAATACCAAATTTAGTACCACTTAGTACTTTAAAACTGTAATACATATTTCTAAAACCTCCACCAGATCTAAATACCAAAAGAGACCTAAATATCAAATTTCGGGAATCCAGCTCTATTCCTTCACCCAATACCGAATATAGTACCACGTAGTACTTTTCGTACAATTATGATGCACATTTCCAAAGCCAGCTCTAAATCTTCACCACAGACACCAGCAGTGACCTTAACATATCCAAATACTACACTCCGGAAGTAATCTAAATTTCAAATTTCAGGATTCCAGCTCTATCGGTTCACTCAAAACCAAATTGTACCAAATTTAGTCGTTTAAGTACAATCGTTTGATCGTTTAACTACAATCCAACATTAATCTTTTTTTCAAATTTCAGTATTTCAACTCTACTGTTTAACCCAAAATTTATATTGTTCCAAATTAAGTACCAATTAGTACACATTAGAACATATTTCCAAAACTTCCTACATACTCAAATCCTACAGTGTGTACACTAATCCTACAAATCCTAATCTTATTTGCAAATTTCAGTATTCCAACTCTATCATTTCAAGCAAATCAAAATTGTACCAAATTAAGTACCATTTAGTACTTTCCGTGCACATAAGTACAAATTTCGAAAACTACCTCCATATCCCAATCCTACACTCCGCAAGTAATGTTAATTTCAAATTTCAGGATTCTGGTTCCATACTTTCTTTCAAATTGTATCATCGTATACATGAGTACTCATTTCTTAAACTACCTCCTTACATCGGGCCTACTCCTCAACCATGATTCCCATTCCAAATTTAAAGTTTATAGCTCTAACTGTTTACATAATACGAAATGGTACCAAATGTAGTATGAAGTGTCATTAAGTTGTCTACAGTATCATTTGTTATTGTATTCCTCAAAAAACGTTAAAATATTTTTTTTTTTAATTTTTAACTCGTTAGGTCTTTGGATATTAATATCTGTATTTTAAACTTGTTTATTGTATATTTAACTGCATTTATTTCTTAATCCGAAACAAATTTGAAAGTGCACCCATTCTCTGCATCCATTCCATCGCACCGAAACAGATGCTTCGATCCCGGCATGGACCAAAAGAATCTGGAGCAGGCATTTCGGAATATGTGCTCCCAAACCAGAAAAAGAAACACAAACGGCTAAAATTTTGCATACATGCATAGTTTACCAGTAGGTAGGTTAAGTTCGTAGATGGGCCATGTCGGTCCACGTTATTGTGTAGCCCCCATATAACGGTAGATCCCGATATTCAGTATTTTGATGATTTCAGCAACATTGGAAGATCCTGATGGATACTACAACCTATGACAAACATTTTTTATACAGGTCCACGTCTTCGTATAGCCCCATATGACGGTACCTACCAATACTCGGTATTTTGATGATTTTACCCATATTATTCACCGGAATTGTAACAAATTTAGTATTTAAAGTTCGTAATTGGGTACTACAGCCTATGACGTTTTCGTATATCCCCTATATAACGGTACATCCCGATATGCGGTATTTTGATGATTTTTGACACATTATTCACCGGAATTGTTTCAAATTTTGTGTTTGAAGTTCGTAATGGGTACTACAGTCTATGAAAAAATGTCGTTTTCGTATAATCTCCATATAACAGTTTTCATTTAAGTTTCTTGAAATTTTTCAAGTTCTTGCCGAACTTAGCTCCTTTTTTGCTTG